AACAGGGTTCTTGGAAAGGAAAGTTACATTTGGACGGGTATACACATTTCCCGCCAAGAAGCAATGGATGCATGTTTTGTCTGATGACGCTTTGTCTCTGCTGTGGCAGCAGCAGACAGGAATGATCCAGATATTGAGGTCGAGTAAAGACTGTCGAGCAGCAGGAAAAGATAACCGCTTTCAACGCGGTATTCGGTCAAATGTAAAGATAATAAGGGGGAGGAGCCGTGACTGCCCTTCCCCCAACACAGCCGCATCAGGCCCGGTGTTCAGTGGATACGTTGGTGGTGAACGGACTACGGACGATTGGCTTCATTCGGCCAAAAAGCAGCAGCATTCGATCAGTGCTCAGGCACACTAACTAGAAAGGACCATTCTCCTTTGTCGCCAATTCCCAGCTTTGGCAGCGGAATCCGTGGGTTGATTGGCTGGCAGCGGTGTGCAAAGTTGCTGCCCCTCCCAACCCGGGGGGCTCGCTACCATCCCCCACCCCCTTGGATGCACGCACGCGCTTGGGCTTGGGGAGGGGGAGATGGCTGATGGCTGAAGGAAACCCGCGGGCAATAAAGAAAAAGCTTCCTTTTTAGACTGGGCCAAACAAACACACTTATTTTTGTTGTTTGCCCAAATTTTCATCCAGACAAAGCCAGAGCGAAACCGCGTATCAACCCCTCCCTCGATTACAAGCAAAAACGGATGCCGATTTCCGGGTGTTGCTGCCATTCATCTCTGCCATCGTCCCAACATCAGACGCCAGGTATATAAAACAGACGAATGCTTCCTCGTCTGTATGCTCTAGCCTTCCTTTTTCTCTCCAACTGAGAGAAGCCTTGTTTTTCCCTTCAAAGATTCAACTTTTACTGTTTTTTTATTTTCGTCTTTGCTGCACCAAAAGGGCTAGCGCCGTTTCTCGTTCCCTTTGTTTTTGTCTCTTATCTGACATGTCTTTCGAGTGCGCTGTATTCAGAGCCTGAGCCAAACCGCATACGATCTGAACAAAATACTTTGTCTTCTCTTTCCCCCTCCTTCCTTCCTTCTCTATATACATTCCATCTGCTAGTGTACACGTCGATTCTAGTAACTCGCTAATAGACAAACCGGGCTTTCCCCCCATTTCTCTTACATCAACCATGAGCACCGAACCAAACGAAAAGGCTCCCATCAGCTCGGCCACCTCGGGTGCCGGTAACGGCGGTTCTGAGGAGGTTGCCACGCTCAATGTCGACCCAAACACTTTGACCGCTGCCGATCTCTACGACAAGGAAAAGTACGACCTTGAGACCATGGATAACAAGCTTGTATACCAGCTTCTCCAGACCTCGCCTGAGGGACTGACCCAAGCCGAGGCCACTGCCCGCGTTGACAAGGTAAGAATTTGTCCTCTGCCCCCCTGTGCAGTGTTTTTATTTTTGATATCTGACGCTTTTGGCTGCAGATGTTATCTTCCCCTTATTTCAGCACTTTGTTACACACAAATGTCCTAGGCCCCTCTTTGCAACAAACATTATATTTGTCAATGTTGTTTGTTTTAGCCTCCATCTATATTCTTTTCTTGTGCCACAACAAGGAAAGAAGAATATTGCAGTTTTCCCTATTTCGTGTTCTATGCTGCTTGGCACAGTCAGAGCAACAATTGTTTCTTCCTCCACCCCAACTTTGTCAGCTTTCTCCTCCCCTATCCCCCTTCTCCTCTAAGCTTGTACCAGCAACACAGGTCCATTATTTCCTCAGCTTACATTGGATGTTGCCGTAGCATGTGCTTCATTCGTGGTACTTCTTGCTACTGGCTCTGGAATGCATCTTTTTTCCAATGTGGGAAAGTGGGGAGGAACGAATGGCAATTCTGCGATTTAGCCCAGTATCAAGCCTGAACACGAAAGTTTTTTCCCCCCTCCAAATAGTAGTGATCAGCATAAAAAAGGTTGGCTCCTTTCGCCTGATGTTTCAGAATCATCAAATAAGGCAAACCACAGACTCGCTGATCTGCAACCTTTAATGAAACAGCCACAGCAGCAACAGCACTACTACTAATTGCTGCATCCAGTTTTCTTAAACACAATTTGTCCATGTAGTTTGGCTACAACAAGCTTCCCGAGGTAAAGGTCAACCCTATCCTCATGTTCCTCTCCTTCATGTGGAACCCTCTGTCGTGGGTTATGGAGGCAGCTGCCATTGTTGCTATTGCTCTTAGCAATGGCCAAGGCCAAGCTCCAGACTGGCAGGATTTCATTGGTATTATTCTGCTTTTGATCATCAACTCGTGTATCGGTTTCTACGAGGAGCGCGGTGCTGGCAAGGCTGTCGAGGCCCTGATGGCTGCTCTTGCTCCTCAGTGCAAGGTCAAGCGTGACGGCCAGTGGAAGACCATGGAGGCTGCCAACCTTGTTCCTGGCGACGTTATCTCCATTGGCATTGGTGATGTTGTCCCTGCTGATTCGCGTATGATTATCTCTAACAACGTCAAGATTGATCAGGCTGCGCTGACTGGTGAGTCGCTCCCTGTTGGCAAGGACCACGGCGACGAGGTCTTCTCCGGCTCCACCGTCAAGCAAGGTGAGGCTGAGGCCGTTGTCATTGGTACTGGTTTGAACACCTTCTTCGGCCGTGCCGCCTCGCTCGTCGCTGGCGCCAACGAGGGCGTGGGCCATCTGCAGCAGGTTCTGGCCAAAATCGGTAACTTCTGCATCTGCTCTATTGGTATCTTCCTGCTTGCCGAGATCTTTGTCATGTACCCTGGCTTCAAATACAGGTATCGTCGTGGAATGAACAACTTGCTTGTGTTGCTCATTGGTGGTATCCCCATTGCCATGCCAACCGTTCTCTCCGTCACCCTTGCCATTGGCGCCAAGCAGCTTGCTGAGCACAAGGCAATTGTCACCCGTATGTCGGCCATTGAGGAGCTTGCTGGTGTGACCATCCTCTGTTCCGACAAGACCGGTACCCTCACTCTGAACGAGCTGACCATCAAGACTGATTCGGTCAAGCAGTACTCCGACGTTTCCGTCGACGACATTCTGCTGTTCTCTGCCTACGCGTCGCGCACTGAGAACGCCGATGCCATTGACACGTCTGTTGTTGGCTCCCTGCCCAACCCGGCAATGGCTCGTGATGGCATAGATCTGCTGGACTTTATTCCGTTTAACCCCGTCGATAAGCGCACCCAGGCCACCTACCGCCGCCACTCAGACGGCACCGTGCACCGCGTCACCAAGGGTATGAGCCAAGTCATTCTCGAGCTCTGCTCCCGCGACAAGACGTCTGAGGTCGAGCGCCAGCTGCATGCCGACGTCGACGAGTTTGCTGTGCGTGGGCTTCGTGCTCTTGCTGTTGCTGAGGAGAGCGTTCCGTCTGGCGACGCCGAGGGCGAGGGAAGCGGCTTCCGCCTGATTGGTCTGCTGCCCATCTTCGATCCCCCACGTCACGACACCAAGGAGACTATCGACCGTGCTATTAGCCTTGGCGTCCACGTCAAGATGATCACTGGTGACCAGCTGGCTATTGGCAAGGAAACCGGCCGCGAGCTGGGCATGGGCGACACTATGTACAATGCGTCTATTCTGCACAAGCCTGACGAGCTGCAGGGCATTGCCAACTCCGTCGATGAGCTGGTTCTGCGTGCCGATGGCTTTGCCGGTGTGTATCCTGAGCACAAGTACGAGATTGTCGAGCGCCTGCAGAACCTGGGCCATATGGTTGCCATGACCGGCGATGGTGTCAACGATGCCCCTGCCCTGGCCAAGGCCAACGTCGGTGTCGCTGTCGCTGACGCTTCCGATGCTGCCCGCTCTGCTGCTGATATTGTGCTTACCGAGGCTGGTCTGTCGACCATCATCGAGGCGTTTATCCACTCGCGTATTATCTTCCAGCGCATGCGCAACTACGCAATCTACACTTGCTCAGTCACTATCCGTGTTGTCACCACCTTTGCCATTCTCGTGTTTGCTTTCAAGTTCGACTTCCCCCCGTTCCTGGTCCTAATTCTCGCCTTCATCAACGATGGTACGATGATGACCATCTCCACAGATCGCGTCAGCCCGTCAAAGCACCCGAACTCATGGAACCTCAAGGAGATCTTCTCGTATGCCATCGTCTACGGTTGCTACTTGACCTTGTCCACCTTGATATTCTTTATCGTCGTTGATAAGACCAACTTCTTCCAGCGCCATGGATGCAAGCCGTTCTCGAACCACAATGACTTTAGCTTCCACTCGGTCATCTATCTGCAGGTGTCAATTCTGTCGCAGGCTCTCATCTTTGTCACGCGTGCGCAGGGCTTCTTCTTCATGGAGCGGCCATCGGTCTTCCTGATGTGCGCCTTCGTGCTTGCGCAGTTCGTTGCCACTATTATCACGGTGTATGCAAGCTGGGGCTTCACTGAAATCAGGGCTGCTGGGTGGCACTGGGCTGGAGCCGTCTGGATCTGGGACATTGTTTGGTTCGTTCCCCTTGACTTTATCAAGTTCGGCATGGCTAGTGTCATCCGGCGCTTCGCTGCCGCCAGCAAGCCGCCTGCGCCTGGCGTGCCTGTGACCACTGACCAGGTGGATCTTGCCCGCCAGCGCACCCGCGTGTCGATGGAAGCTGCACAGAACGTCACCCGCATCTCGACAATCCCGTCGCGCGGTGCCTCGTACTATGCACCAAACATGCAGGACCATGTTTCGCGTCGCCGCAACTTTGGTGCTCGCGTCAAGCACATGATCACCAAGACTGGCAAGCGCCTCAACATGGACAACAACGAGCTGCGTCGTCTCCAGAGCACCCAGGCTCAGGCCGCTTCTCGTGTGCTTACAAACAATTAAGTTTTAGAAGTTTGTTGGCTTATTTTAATGTGCTTTTTTCACACGCTTCCTTTATTTTGGTTTCACTTAGTATAATTACACTTCTCAAACTGTACACAAACTGATGAAATCCGCTATAGAGCAGCTGTTGGAAAGTTTTTATTAGGAACAAAATCTTGAATAGCTGCAATAAAATTTTTGAACCAAAAAGTTCAAAAATGCTGGAAGTGGGATTCGAACCCACGCCTCTTGCGAGACTGCAACTTGAGTGCAGCGTCTTAGACCACTCGACCATCCCAGCAAGAGATAAACTCCACCCATAAGACATTTTTGAATTTTGAAAAGTAGCACAGCTACGCTATATATTTTACAGATCATTAACAGCCACAAAAACGCTGCCTACATTTCAATGCAGCTGCTGATGGCAAACATGTTATACTATGTTAAATTCCAAACTTTTCATCTTGTTAAACATTATATCAATATATCTGGTGTGACCGACTATCATATTAATAGATATTCAAGAAGCTGTTTGTTGTTCTTTTAAATTAAGGTGCGGAAAATATCTACATTTCTACAATTGTTTAAAAGTGGAAAATTTATAAAGAAATATTCTTGTGTTTGTACTAAGTCGAATAAAAAAATCCGCCTATTCCACCCAACATTGGCCATCATCGCTTTTTATTTATTTATTATTACATGATGGCGACAACTTCGCTCGCAGTGCACTCTGCAATATATACGTGATAATTATAACGCTAGATGTTTATAAAAACCAGAGCATGTCGATAATTTCAACAAGTTCCCTCCATCTTCAAGTATTTTAACACACACTAAATATGAATAATACTGGCTCTACTTTTATCAGCATATACGCCAAAGCTTATATAAAGCAAGGGAAAAAGATAATAAACAAGGATAGGACGAGAATAAAAGTTAGGTCTAGCAGCAAAATCAAAGAAATATTCACAAAGTTGGATCTCGATAGCTCGCTATTCAAAGATACAGTCATAAAGTATACGCCTAGTGATGCCAAAAGAGCACAGATACTTGGAAAATCCACAACCGTAGAAGCTAATGACAGCTTTACTCAGTGGGGTATCAGGGAAAATGATATCCTGAGGATCGAAGCCACACCAGAGTTTAAGCAACTGGATGCAGTGGCAGCTGCCAAACCAAGCTCCAAATGAATGAACCTGTCTGATCGAACCTAGTATTAACTCGATACCGTACTATTTAGCAGCAGCATTAAATTAAAGATAAATAAATAATGAATCATAGAAAAAACCCTAGTTAATGCTGTTTACAACTTTTAGTTCACCTGAACTGTCGCGTATCTGGCTGTTGTATATAATGTCGTCGTCTTCGGTACATTCCTCAATGGCAAGCAGTTCGATTTGATTGTCAATGCTAGCATTGCTGGTATGATCTTTGCCGTCGTGATCTTCTTCCAGGTCTCTATATATATCAGAATACTCGTCGATGCTGTCTGAAAACTTTACCGATAGTCTGTCGCTTGCCCGGGATGTACGGTATGTTGGTAGATGCGCAGATAGTGTTAGCTTTCGACTCACTCTTCGGTCGTTATTAGTAAAGCCGCCGACACCTCTGCCATTCCCAATACCTTTAAGGATTCCGTGACTATATCGCCTTACGGAGGCGGCTGCTGTATTGTCTCCGTCAATCATGGTTGATGTTCCCTCGGACAAGGATTGCGATCGAGCGCGACTGCCATTATTTGGCGAGCTGCTCTTCGCATGCAGCTTGGTTGTCATTATTGCTTCCTTTGTCGCATTGGATGATCTTCTGTCCGGGAACTGCGACGCCAGAGTTGTCCCGTCTACTTCATGAGAAGACCTCCGTCTATTGTTAATTGACTTTATGTACTTATCTTCCAGTATGTGTGCCGAATCGCGAATGTTCTCAGCATAGGATTCCACAATGTTACGAATAGTGGTGTCCCTTTGGGGCGGGGCTCTGACAGTGGACCGCCGTCTTTGTGCATACTTTTCCTGCATTTCGCGGACAAGATAGTACAATGCAAGCATAAAAACAATTATTACAAATATGTAGCACATTGCAGATATGGCGTTGGTTTTGTGTGTGCGCTGGACCATCCATTGGGTATCTAGGTCATTGCATGAAATGTCCTTGGGTGAATACGTGTCGACAAACGACCTGGCGTTTAGGTCATAAAAGTATATGTCTTTATCTCCACTATATGTGTTATTCCCAGTCTCTATGTAGCCGTGCGTAACAACAAGATAATGCCCAAGGGTTTTCATCTGGTGTGCGTAGCGAGGCACTGGGGCATTTGGCGTTTGTAGCTTGGTCCACACCCAGTTAGTCGTATCAAGCTTGTATAGATCCCCGAAAAGCGGAGTCCAAAAGGTAACATTCACGCCTCCGTAAATGTAAATCGAATCGTTGTGAAGGGATGCTGAAAACGCAGAACGCTCTGCGGGAATATCGCCAGAGCAGTTGACAGTACTCCATTTCATCTTATCAATGTCGTACACATACACCATGTCAAAGGGAAGGTTTATGGCCTTATTGCCAATGGAGTCGAAAACATTCCCGCCAAGTACAACCATCAGCGTGTCGTTTATCAAGGTACTGGTATGCTGAATCAGACCCATTATCGGGTTTGGCGTAGTGTCGCCGCTATCGGTAAGGACTTTTCCAACCGTGGTATTTCCTTCAGTGCTGCGTCCAAGAGATGCAGCATGTTTGTTGTGTCGGTTAGTGTCAAGCACCATCCGATTGACATTGAGCCATCTGGTGCTTGAATTACTATGCGTTGTTGCATCGCTAGCACCACCAAAAATGATCATATCGCCAGAACTCTCCTGAAGCACGGCTGTGTGCAGGTATCTCCGCGGGTCTACGTCTACCACATTCGATGCGCCCCATGCTTGGTATTGAGAGGAATATGCAGCTAGATGGTTGGCCTGTGAAAAAGTGCTGGGTGATTCTCCGCCGTAAGGCACAATAATATGATTGGTACGGTCGTAGACCGACGAATGCTGTGCCAATGGCGGCATTGCAAAGCGGGAGGCCGAGCTCTGCTGCTTCCACTCGGGACTAGGCTGTTTAACTGGCTTGGTAATATCGACGCACCGGTAATCGAGCAGGAAGTCACTTAGAGCTACGCCTGTATTTATACTCTTACCGCCGAAAACACAGAGCTGTCCATCGAATACTTCCATTGTATGGTGAAAGCGGGGCATTTTATCAAGCGCTCCATATATCGGTTCGGCGAAAAGCAGCAGAAATATATACAAAAGCGTAGCAAGGCGGATGACACACGCCACAGTACCATCTTTTTGAAACATGTTCACAGTATTTGGATAGCACGCTAAACGAAAGCAACTACACATTTTTGAAAAGCAGTGTAATAATAAAAATAGTATAATTTTTGGAAAATGGCAAACACCAACTTGAAGCTAAAGAGAGCAGTTTCCTGTTGTCAAAAAAAGGAAAACCTCAAAGCGTCATCAATCAACATATTGTCAAAGAAATATCGTGATAAAAAGACAAGGATATTTTGTACTCTTTTTTGATGCAAAAATCTGCAGGGAACTGTCATCGGATCTCTTGCCCAGATCAAAGATGTCTCAACTGGCATCATTAGCTTGACTAAATTTTAATAATTATTATCTAACATAATGGGCGCAATGGTGACAACAAACAAAAGACACAATGGCAAATATTTATATACTAAGCGGCTCCTCCAGGTCGGATCGGTCCTGCGGAAGTGGCTGCTGCGGCAGCGGAAGTATTATTTTGCTGGGTCTGGAGATGATGCGCTAGTACTCGTTGAAGCGTTTGGCGCTGTTCAGGCGTCATCTGTGCTTGTGCGTTCTGCAGCAAAAACGCAATCACGTTTGGTGGAAGTGCTGTTGGATTTATGCGTCCAGCAAGGAACTGCTGTAGGATCATTGCCATGTTGATCTGTGGCGGTCTAGGCGCCGGTGCTGCCTGTGGCGGTTGCGCTTGCTGCTGCTGGGCCTGTGCAGCCTGCTGCGATTGCTGCGTTTGCTGTTGCTGCTGTTGCTGTATAATCTGCTGCATTTGTTGCATCTGCTGCATCTGACTAACTCTTTGGATGAACTCTTGTCGCTGCTGTGGATTCATGTTCGCCAGTGTCGCCTGTTGCAAGAGCCGTTGCCCAGCCGACAGTCCCATTGGTGCCGAGCTGGGCACGCTTGGTGCTGGCGTCGGACTCCCCATCACAGCTGCGAGCGGACGGGATTGCATTGAGTTTGTGGCGCTGGGGCTTGGTCGCATAGGCCGCATAGTAGGTGTCTGAATGCCCATGCTACCGGGGCTAGCCATTGCGGCTGGCGTAGAAACACTTAGCGAACCACCACCACTTGCTGCTGCATTCCGTTGCTGCTGCAAGGCTATAGCGGTCGCCAATGCTTGTTGCTGGATAGACGTAGCTGGCCCCTGCATATGTGCGCCAGTACCATTCATAGCTGCAGCTCTTTGCCTCTGGATCACCATCTCAACCAACCTCATTCTCTCCTGGGGTGGAAGATTTGCGAGCTCCGGCGGGAGCTGCATCGGGTTAGCTGATTGCACGCCACTGGGTGCAATATTCCCTGGCAGGCTGGCACCACTGGCATTCATAGGTAATGCGTTCGAGGCGACTGGTGAATTCTGCACGGATGAACTCGCATTGGCCGGATGTTGCAGTTGCTGTTGAGGTTTGGAACCGGCTGCATCATTTACACTGCTATTTGACACGGTACCGTTAGCACCAGCGGTAGTCTGTTGCCGCTGCTGCTGCTGCTGCTGCTGGGACACTGCTTGAAAACGTGCTAGGACCGCTTGTCTAAGTTCGCCAGTCTTGGCCTTTCTGACGAGTAGTGCGAACTGAGGTGCTTGGATATTCTGAAACGGAACATCCATCAGGCGACAATACTGTTGAATTAGAATAACGTCTTCCTTTGTCGGCTGAAGTTGCTGGAGGTTTGGAGGAACACCACCAGCAGTCGTTGGCATAGAATTAGGCCGCATGGTTGGGCTCATAAGACCAGGCTGGGCTTGAGGCATCGATGCTGCTGCGCTTGCCGGACTAGCGCCAAGCGCTGACGCCATGCTTGCTGGGCTAGCCACAGCATTAGTCGAGTTACTGCCACTAGCATTGCCAGCCATGCTGTTGGCGGGTTCGTTGCCGCCCTGCATCGCATGGAGCATTTGTGCAATGGCTGTCATATTTGAAGGAGCGCCTGGACGCATTTGCGGCGACCCCAAAGCATTCGGGCTTCCAATGTTTGGTACACCAGGCTGTTG